TGCAGTACTCAGCCACTGAATATACCAAGGCAAGAGCTGATGTCCTAAAAACTCTGACAATTATTCCCCATCTAGTGCTAGATAAAGTTTGTGTAGGATATTGTTTCAGGTTTTCATTTTATCTGTGTTTTTTCTTAAATGTTCCCTATTAGTTAAGAATCGGTATGATCTCAATCACAAATGATGAATTGGGCTACTGCACCCCTAAAGAAGATAGTTCTAAAAAGACCTCAGACTGTTCAGAGTGTCTCTAAAGTCCATTCTGGCACAGAGCTATTTGAATTTGCAGAGCTGGAACAAACTCTATAGGGCCATGGGAAATTACAACTGTAATTCATTGCCTGATCAATAATATGTAGAGATGGGAAGGCCTTGGAAAAAAACTGGAAAATTCTGGGGAAAAAACAGTCTTTTTCCTGTTTGTTTCCGAAGATGTTTTTGTTTTTTCCCCTGGAAAAATGGGTGGGTGGGGGAATGGAGTGTGGAATACATTATTTTATAATAATAAATAATATGTGTATGGCATGGTATTAAAACTATATAACATAAAGACCTTAATGAAAGGCTTCTGAGAGTTTATGTATTTAAGTTCTCTGAGAACTTGACTCAGTAATAAAAGCATGCTTTGCCCAAATAGTGGAATGGTAGCACTAAGTCAGTATTTTTTTGTATTTGCATAGCACTTGTATTCCAAGAAGTCAAATAAATTAAGGATTGTGTAATCCTGACCTCCTGGTTAACTAGTTCTATGCAATTCCCATATAGTGTGTGTTTGTGTGTGTGTTGGGGGGGGCGGAATGAAGGCGAGAGATTGTCTCACCTTTTTGGAAGTTTCTTTGGGCATATTAAAGCTGTTACACTATTGTGGCCTTTATACCCACCAACCAGCAGAGTATCTTACTGTTTTTCTAGTGAGCTCATGGCAGAGAGGGGATTCAAAGTGGCAACACCTGGATTTATGAGCAATCTATTAACAGCTCTGCTGCATCAGCTATCAAGTTACGTTTTGTTTTTGTGATTTACGTAAGTTCACACAAATGGTTTGCTCCTGAAATATTTTGCTAAAGGTTTAATCTGCCAGCTCCTTTTTGCTACACCTATAAACTTTGCAGGGAATGTTTTAGAATACAGTACAATGTTTTAGAACTGAGGAGCCACTGCCACATGGCGCATTGCTCTGTCCCCTTTCTCCAGTATATGCCCAGCATGTCCGGATGGTGGGATGCCTGCCGTTGGCTAGATCACTGACCAGAGGCTTTACCCCCTCCCATTCAGGCTGACAACTAGGCCTCCGCATTAGCCTTTCAGCAAACAGCAGGTGCAAGCATAGTGATCCCAGCTCTGATGACAAGTAATCCTTACTCCCCTTTCTACCCCCACAATATTGTCTGCTTTGCTGAAGGGTGTTTTTGTTTTCTCTTCACAGTTGTTAATTCCTTTATGCTCGATCATGAAACCTCTTCCTAATCTTTTGATGTGGGGATTTCTCCTGGAAAGGGCAGCTCCTGCCACTCTTGCCAAACCCTAGGATGCTGCATGCATGCAGTTGTACCCGACAACAAGCTTGTCTGTGCACGGGGGGGGGGGTGCGGAGGAGGAGGAAGGGTGGCTACCTGCCCAGCTGCTGTCTTGACAGACTCTGTTCAAAATAGTTGTACACAAGGTTGCCCCACCAGCTCTGTGAGGATCAGCAGGACTCCATTCAGACGGTTTGCATAGGTCTGCAACCTCAGAATATTCAGCAGCATTTCAACAGTTCTTATTCGTTCAAGGCATTTCTGTATAAAACACTCAAGATGGCTTACAATTTTTTTAAAAAAATTAACGACTAGTTTAGCAATCTAACAGTAACTAGAAACAGCATGATAAAAACCTCACCAAAAACAGCAACTGCTCTGAACGCTTAAACTGCCTACAGCCGCTCCACCCTGGGCAGAAGCAGACAAAACAGACTGGCTCAAAATGGAACTAGTATAGCATTTATTACTCTCTCTCTCTCTCTCTCTCTCTCTCTCTCTCTCTCTCTGTCCTCTCTTCATGTATGCCAGTCTTATGTGACCCATGCTTGGCCAACAAGGCAACGAAGCCCCAGACATCACTTTGCTTGTTGCAATTTTAGGTGTAAGCAAATGGGTAGTCCGTATTTTTGATGCTGTAACTGAAAAGGCCCTCATCAAAGGGATGGAGAGTGCCATGACGAATGGAATAATTGTCTGCATGTTGCTCTGTATTAAATATACTTGCAGAGCGAAACATTATTATAGCCTTTCCCCTTGTGGACTAGTTTTCTACTTGTAGACACTGAGTTTTGTTTTTACACAACACGTACTTATTACAAGCCTAATATGATCCATCCAAATTATCACCTATTCTGCTGCAGGCATTGACATGTTTCTGCATCTCCCTCTCTCAGAGTCTAGTAAAGGATTACATAGTAGAAAGAATAATCAGACCTAGAACAGAACTACATAATTTTGGCATAACGCTAAGGGTATCTAGCTACTCAGAGAGAAAGTCTTCTACCTTTCATTGTTGTGAGGAAAAGATAAGTTTGTGTGTGTCAGACCTTAAGTTCATTGATAATAAAAATATAGAGCATTTCTCTTACGGCTTTCTTTCACTTGGAAGTCCAGTTTTCACTTTGATAACAGTCAAGCTCTTACCCTTAATAAAGTTTAACTCTCAAATTAAGGCTAAATTGGTAAGCAAAATTCCCAAGGATATTTGAACTGCAGCTTATAATCTATATGAATGTTATAATTACACATTTAACAGCAGGACTTAAATATTAAAAACTGTGAACCAAAATAAAAATCATGTCCCCAAATAACTGAATGTTTTGAGATTTAAAAATTCAGTTAAATATATTTATGGAATAATTGTTTTTCTCTTACTTAAACAACGACAACAATTTGTGAACTAGCCCTACCCCTGTAGCCATAACCTGCCTGAAAGGAACATCAGGTAGCCAAAGGAAATAAACAAAAAACAACAACAAAGAAATAAGCAGGCGTTCCAGGGACATGGGGAAGAAGCAGTCTTTCAGATAATACTTCATGGCTCCCTAACAAGACATTTTTTCTATGTAACAGTTTCTGAATAGGAAAACTGGTATCTGTAAAGGGGTCTGTCAAGAGTGGCATGAGATGTTCTTTGACGATGCGGATGGAGAATCTTTGAATGTTAACAGTGATACGTGCTATTAGTCTCCCTGAACCCAGTCTCCTTGAGAGGAGATACTCCCATCAGCCCTGACTAGCTGTGGTGAGGGAAAATGGGAACTGCAGTGTGACAAGCTTTAGAGAGCCACGTTCTCCATTCTGGCAATGAGGGCTGTTCTGAATTGAAAAGGTCCCAACACCATGTCTTATTCCAACCATAGAAAAATTGTCTGGGCTGTCATCAGCCTACAGGGCCCCATAGCGCTGCCTACAAAAGGGCAGGTTTTTTTTTTAAAAAAGCAATAATTTATGCCGATGGCACATTTGGCTGCTGCACAAATAACTTTTGATCTTTGTATGAGGCTGTGGCCTAATCCTAGATGACAAGAAAGAAACCTCTTTAATAGATAGGTCATTAGAATCGTCCCACCCACCCCCTTTTTAATAGGTAAGGAGTTCATGCTTGAAAGCCAGCAATGTATCCATCTCCATCCTGTGCCATAATTAGATTAGGCATCCTTCAGTCTCAAGACACTATGGTAACATGCTCTGAATAGAGGTCTTGGAACAGCATCTAGTATGGCTGAGAAGGCCAATATGAGAGTGACAATCCCTTCCACACTGAAGACAAATACAATCTGTCCCGTCTAGCGCCCTGATTTTACTGGTTTTGGGACTGCCTCTTTGCCTCAGCCTGCTGGACAAGTGTCTCTTCAAAATGGGGGAGGCCGTGATACACCGCCTGCCTCCAGGCTGAACGCTCAGATGTCAGGGTTTCCCATCTGTTGAGGTCCATTCCTAAGGCCTTCAGATCCCACTTGCAGATCTCCTTGTATCGCAGTTGTGGCCTCCCTCTGGGGAGCTTTCCCTGCACTAATTCTCCATACAGGAGATCTTTTGGAATCTGACCATCAGCCATTCTCACAACATGCCCAAGCCAACGTAGACGTTGGTGTTTCAGTAATGTATACATGCTAAAAATTCCAGCTCGATCTAGGACTACTCTATTTGGAACTTTGTCCTGCCAGGTGACACAAAAATGCATTGGTGACAACGCATATGGAACGTGTTCAGCTTCTTCTTCTGCTGTACACAAAGGGTCCAGGACTCACTTCAGTACAAGAGTGTACTCAGGACACAGGCTCTATAGACCTGGATCTTGGTATATGCCGCCAGCTTCTTATTAAGCCATACACTTTGTGAGTCTAGAGAACATGGTAGCTGCTTTGCTAATGTGTTTATCCAGCTTGACACATAGGGAGAAAGTGTCAGAGATCATTGAGCCAAGGTACACAAAGTCATGAACAGCCTCCAATTCTTGTGTGGAGATTGTAATAGAGGGAGGTGAGTCATGCCCTGGCCCATGACTTGTGTTTTCTTCAGGCTGATTGTTAGTCCAAGGTTTTGGTAGTCCTTGCTAAAATGATTCATGAGTTATTGGAGGTCTTCAGCAGAATGGTGCTATAAGAGGCATATGAATACAGATTCAAGAAGCCATTACAGATTCTTACGCCAGACCAGGCATACTTAAAATATATAAATAAAGCAGGCAGTGTTTTGTAGATCTTGTGTTGTTATACCTTTTGAACACAATAATTGTGAGAGAGCATGATGTGACACCTGGTGCACCTAGCGAAACACAAGATATATATGTGTGTGTGTCTAAAAATTATTAGTCGCCCTACAAATTATCAGGGAGATGTACAATAAAAATTAAAAAGTCCACATAGATCAAATGATAAGCAGAATAACACATAAATTACAAGTAACAATCAATTAAAAATTATAATCAGGGAAAATGGCCATTTGTCCATGTAGAATAATGCAACAATATAAATATACATGAATTCACTATGCCTTTATTTAATTTATGATTTCCCAGTCATCAAATATCTCAAAGTCTGCATAATGTGCTGTTAGCTTTTTAAACAAGTGGAAGACAAAGGTGAAGGAAACCAGTACGGCAGTCAAAAAAAGCAACAACCCATGCCACCAGTTTCACTCACACAGGATGTGCTGGTTGGGAAGAGTTTCAAAAAGTTTTGAATTGTAACCATGTTGAAAAGTTCATGAAGTCATTATCTGCCTCCTGTTGGGGAGAACGAAACATATTAACAGCCAGTATGTAAGTGAAGAATGTGTACAGTATTATTATTTGTACTGAAATAAAGACTCCAGTTAGCTAGCAACTTCCCCATGTCTTGCTATGGCAAAAGTCCTTTAAAAATTGAAAGGACCTTTTGAAAAACTAGAAATATTTGTTACTATGTTTAATAGAAACTGCGAGTTTGATTAAGAATATCTTGAAAGAATTATGGATCCCTTCTCTTATGTTTCACGTGTTCAGTAGCGTTAGATGGCAAGTTTTAAAAGCAGAGCATACACTCTCTATTTTGACAACTAATAATCCCTTGGCTTGTTTAGTTTTTTAATTCATTTCACTGGAGCTCTAGACTAAGAAGGGTGGTAACAGGCCGTGACTCATTGCCGCTGTATTTCAGATTCTTTCTGGAAAACAGCAATTCATTCGGATTTTTCATTTTCTCTTTCTCTCTAAATACATTGTATTTCTGCATCTATAGAGGACAGGTTACTCACTTGTAACTGTGGTGTTTCAAATGGTCATCTATGAATTCATTAGTTCTGCACCCATGCAAACACTCTCTATGAAGCTTTGAAGAGCTTTGGCCTAAAGGCTTCTTTCCCTTCTTTTTACTGCACACGCTCTGCCTATTTACCTCACTCCCCATCTGTCTGCCACAAACATATATTGTATTTGGCAAGACAAAAGCGGCGAAGGTGAGTGGGTTGTGTGAATTCATAAATGACCACTCAAAGAACGTCAGTTATAGGTGAGTAATCTGTCTTCCTTTGTCATGGTGTCTATGATTCACACGATGACTAGCAAGCTCACTTAGACTAGCAAGCTCACTTATCAGAGGTACAGTATATCACAGAAGTGAGTACACCCCTCACATTTCATAAATATTTTAGTCTATCTTTTCATGTGACAACACTGATGAAATGACATTTGGCTACAATGTAAAGCCGTGAGTATACAGCTTGTATAACAGTGTAAATGTGCTCTCCCCTCAAAATAATGCAACACGCAGCAATTAATGTCTAAACCGCTGGCAACAAAAGTGAGTACACCTCTAAGTGACAATGTCCAAATTGGGCACAAAGTGTCAATATTTTGTGCATTAACCCTCTTGGGCATAGAGTTCACCAGAGCTTCGCAGGTTGCCACTGGAGTCCTCTTCCACTCCTTCATGATGCCATCACGGAGCTGGTGGATGTTAGAGACCTTGAACACTTCCACCTTCCATTTCAGGATGCCCAACAGATGCTCAATAGGGTTTAGATCTGGAGACATGCTTGGCCAGTCCATCACCTTTACCTTCAGCTTCTTTATCAAGGCAGTGGCCATTTTGGAGGTGTGTTTGGGGTCGTTATCATGTTGGAATACTGCCCTGTGGCCTAGTCTCCAAAGGGAGAGGATCATGCTCTGCTTCAGTATCTCACAGTACATGTTGGCATTCATGGTTCCCTCAATGAACTGTAGCTCCCCAGTGTTGGCAGCACTCATGCAGCCCCAGACCACAACACTCCCACCACCATGCTTGACTGTAGGCACAACACACCTGTCTTTCTACTCCTCATGTGGTTGCCATCACACATGCTTGACACTATCTGAACCAAATAAGTTTATCTTGGTCTCATCAGACCGCAGGACATGGTTCCAGAAATCCATGTCCTTAGTCTGCTTGTCTGCAGCAAACCATATGAGGGCTTTCTTGTGCAACATCTTTAGAAGAGGCTTCTTTGGCCAATTTGATGCAGTGTGAGGCATATGGTCTGAGTACTGACAGGCTGACACCCCCCCCCTTCAACCTCTGCAGCAGTGCTGGCAGCACTGATACGTCTGTTTACCAAAGCCAGCCTCTGGATATGGCGCTGAGCACGGGCACTCAACTTCTTTGGTCGACCATGGCAAGGCCTGTTCTGAGTGGAAACTGTCCGGTTAAACTGCTGTATGATATCGGCCACTGTACCGCTGTTCAGTTTCAGGGTTTTGCCAATTTTCCTATAGCCTAGGCCATCTTGATGTAGAGCAACAATTCATTTTTTCAGATCCTCAGATAGTTCATTACCCTGAGGTGCCATGTGGAACTTCCAGTGACCAGTCTGAGAGAGTGAGAGCGGTAACACCTACTCCCCCTTCACACCTGAAACTTGTGACACTAATGGATCCCATGACACCAGGGAGGGAAAAGGGCTACTTGGGCCCAATTTGGACATTGTCACTTAGGGGTGTACTCAGTTTTGTTGCCAGCAGTTTAAACATTAATGGCTGTGTTGTGTTATTTTCAGGGGACAGCACATTTACCTTGTTATACAAGCAGTATACTCACTGCTTTACATTGTAGCCAAGTGTCATTTCTTCAATGTTGTCACATGAAAAGATAGACTAAAATATTTATGAAATGTGAGGGGGTGTACTCACTTCTGTGATATACTGTAGGTTGCCATGCCAAAACTGAAGACAGGACCACTGTACCAAAGGAAGTACCTCTCTGAGCCATCAAATGAAATCTATAATGATTTTAAAATGTCAGAAGTTGAGACCATGTTCCTGTCCTGCAGATGTTCTGTATATCAATTCCTCAGGAAGGCTGTATAATAGTGGTTCCCAACCATGGATAATCCAGGTGTTTTTGGACTGCAGTTCCCAGAAACCCTGGACAGCACAGCTACTGGTGAAGTTTTCTGGAAATTGTATTCTAAGAACACATGGGTTACCCAAGATTGGGAACAACTGCTATAGAAGAAATCGTTGATCTGCTTGAATCGCCCTTGGTTTTTAATAGCAATTAATGTTGGCAATGTCATAAACCATTATCATATTGACCCATTTAGAGAAATATTGTGATGATACTGAATAATCCTTTTTGGAACACTGACACCATACAAAGTGTCTAGATGGTTTTTTTCTAAATTCCTGTGCTCTTGATAAATGGCTAGAGCCTTCTTCATGTCTAAGGTATGTAGTGTCTTTTCTAAGTCATTCTGGGGTGATGCACAAAATGTAGTATCTGTGACTAAGACATGTAAAATGAAGACATTATCTTTGGGAGAAAAGATACGTCCGTATATAATGTTACTTTATCTTTGCTAAATTGTATGTAAAGAGGATCACACCTCAGTGCACAAATTTCACTTGCTCTTCTTGTAGAAGTAATAGCAATTAGGAATATTATTTTAAATATCATTAACTTTAGATTTGTTGTTGCTGTAGGTTCAAAATGACTTTTCATGAGCTGTGTCAGCAACAAGAACAAAGACCAGGATGATGGAGGTTATACATCAGGGTAAGTATTCTTTAAACCTTATAAGAATTTCTTTAGTGTTGGATGTCTAAATTATTTATTTATTTATTAGATTTATATACTGCCCATCTAGAACGTGTCTACTCTGGGAGTTTACATATAACCTAAAAATAAACTGAGGTAAATAACTGCAACTATGAGTGATTTTCAGGTTGATGTGCTACTATTGCAGCTAAGTAGACTTTAAAAGATGAAATTGACAATTCTAATTGCTTTACATGCAAGTAGAAATGAGTACTTTGTAGCAACACTGGAGTACTATTCTCAGAGACTGAAGATGCATATTCTATAAATCTTTTCCACTTGTATTCATTTAGTAGATGGATTTCTTGCTTGTTGCAAAATACATTCTTTTGATGAATTATCCTCTACACTGTCAATTTCAGTTTAACTATAACTATATCTGGCTGTTATACTGATGCCTCCATACATGTGTGAAGGAAGGGAGTTCAGTTTCCCACTGTACCTCTCAGAAGAACCAGCTTATGTAGCCTTGGGCAAGCAGTACAGTCACAAGGCACCCTGAGAAGAAGACCACTTCACAACACTACATACATAGAAAACCCTGGAAAGTGTTAGCATAAGTCAAAATTGACTTGATGGCACCTTATTATTATTTTCCACAAGAAGAGATTTACCATTTCTTTCTTTCTGGAAGACATCTACAGGTTCCTATGTTACCTAGAAATGCCAAGATTTAGTATAAATGTACGGTATGTTCAAATAGTAAGGTTTTGGTCAGGCAACTCTTTTTGCACATATTGCTACACTTCCAGCTTCTGCTATCCTGTCCCTCTGCTTACTTTTAATAATAAAAACTGGTGTTCTCAGAAACCTTGTTAACTAAATAGCCCCAAGGACTAACTATGCCTCCAAGGCTTTAACTCAAATGCACATACCACTGCAGATAGAGCCACTGGACAGGCATTATTTTCCATATGTAGGTCTACCTGGATCAACTGGGTTGTGCTGCAGTCTAAACTGGGGTACACTGATAGAACTAATACCATTTCATTTTGTGCTGCTATGAAAAAAGAGGAAAAGCTGGATATAGGCATCCTTCAGTCTCGAGAGACTATGGTAACATGCTCTGAATCGAGGAGTGTCCTCTCCAGAGCATGAAGCCCGGGTAAGATAATATGGAGGATAGGCTGTTACCCAAGCAGCAGATCCCCCCTCTCCACATTGCTGAAATGGTCCAATGGAAAGGCAAGAGCCAATACAACTGGTTCCAGCAATGTCACAGGAGTTGGCAGAATGACACATGCTGCCTTCGGGACTCCAGCTCCGGATTTTGCCTCAAGGTTAACTCCTGAAGCCCTTTCCATGAGTGGATATAGCCACAAGGCAGTGGAGGTTTGAAATTGGAGTTTTCCTTCTCCTAGATGGGCTGCCTTCCATGGGTGACGAGCCCCACCTACCCGGCCTGCTCTTTAATAGTGCAAAAGTATGATCTGATCCTTAAAACTTTCCTGACTCCCAGGCTTATGCAAATCTAATTGGCTTTCCTATTTACCTTATTTATTTATTTAACTTATATGCTGCCCACACTACCCGAAGGTCTCCGGGCCAGAATGCGAGGTCCTGGGACACGTGTCCCAGGAAAAGCTGGATGCATCCTTGTTATTTATGGGCACTGAAGACTGATCCTAGTTCTGAAAACCTTGAAGGATACAAATTAAGAATCAAAGATTTTCCTCATCAGATGGACACCTTGCTATGTCATATTTGTACACTTACCCAATCTGTTGCATAGGCAGGTCTAGCATGGTACAGAGTGCTCTGTCCTGTTTCTTGCTTGTGAAACACCAGAACTTGTGTAAGCAACTTCAAGCAATATATACACATGCTGTATAGATACTGTGATTACATCTATGCCAATTCAGTAGAATGACGCCTTTTGGTCAGATAATTAATAAAGTCAACAAGGAGACTAGGACTTCTGGTATACTGCCTCTGACATAAACCCCATGTGTCCCAACAGATTGCTTTTCTATGAGGTTCAGGTTTATGCAAATCCCTTCTGGGGGTAATTCATAATAATCAATTAAGCTCAAGGTAACTTTTGTTAACTTTCTCTGATAGTTGAGACTGACAAGTCAGTGACAACTGTTTTAAATTTTAAGTAACCTGCATTTTGCCAGGCTCCACAGCTTTGGAAATTGTGTCATACTGTTTACCACACGCAAACCAACATACCCATTATCTATAATCTTCACGCAATGGTATAAGTCCCTCCAGAGTGCTCTTAGATCTGTCACTCTTCCTCACCTACTGTGCTCTTTTCTTCTAGGCAGGTAGAGTGAGGTGACTTGGCTCTATATTTACCAACTGAAAGCTTTACAAAAAGATCTAACATTCCCCAATCAAGTTGCTTCCTCCTCCCTCCCATTCATTCTTGGCTGGCGTTTTGTCATTTTAACTGCTTCCAGTGTGATAGATGGTGACATCAAAACATGAATCAAGCACAAGGTGGCAGTCCATCAAATGAATGAAGGCTTCACATGGTTCTAATACACTTCGGTAAGCAGCAAGAGAGAACAGGCACACAGACTCATACTATGCCTCACATTTTAACATTTAAACAGCAGCTTTATATATTACTTGAATAGCTAAGATCCCATTAAGTCTAATTATAAAGAAAGCTCCTTATAAAAGTCAGCTAGCATTTCAAAGTGAGATACAAAGGAACATCATGCAGATAGGTTTATCCACCAAATATGGGTAAACGAGGGTAGAATCTACAATGATTTTCGAGACAGAAGAGTAGACAAAGTTTCATTTCTCCAGAACGAGGCAAGGTGCAGGCAGGTCTTCACATATTCTACTTGAGCTGCCTCTTTTCTGTTCCACTGTAATTGTAACACAATCATATGCTCTTCAGCAAATCAAGAAACATTCAAATTGAGAAGAGGAGGTCAGAAACCAAAGGGAGATGGTTAGCCTAATAATCAAGTGAGGAAAATACTTGTGCAGTTTACAGTCTTGGAAATAAAAGGCCTCTGGAGTCAAAGTCACTTCTTTAACAGAGTCTTACTTAAAGGCAGCATTAAATGACCGGCCAATAATTATTCTCCGTACTTCACTGGTTCCTGCTCCTATTTCATACAATTTGGCATCACGCAGAAAACGACCCATGGGGTAGTCATTGATGTAGCCATTTCCACCTGCAACATAAAGATTTGGAGCTCTAAAAAGACAGACCAAATTTAGATTATCATATGTCTATCCCTAGGTGATGAACTCACAGGAGATGAACATTGAATTCAGTTGGAATATAAACTGCATAACTTACAAATCAGTGACTAACACAGAATGATAAGAAGAATGTTTGCATTATACAATTCTCTACTAACTCAGTATGCTCTCAGTGGTACAATCACGCCCAGGTCTATAATCTTACCCAAACACTGAATTCCATCCAAAGCAACTTGAGTAGCACATTCTGCAGAGAAGAGAATCACTCCTGCACAGTCCTGAGGGAGGAGACAAGAGAACTAAGGTAAGAAGTACAGCTCCTCCAGCCCCCAAATAACAAGCTGAATCATCTAGGTTTGCCACCTGACCCTACACCTGATTTCAAATTCATATAATGGTCATAGAGAAACAGACATTTTCTTGTTTGCCAAGGTCACTGTTATACCTCCAAGCTCTGCTACTCCTTCGCAGCCATCCCTGATCCCTGCCACACCCTTTCTCTTTGGTACCAAAGTCAAGCCTCATTTTATCTTGTCACTTGACTACTGAAGTAATCGTCTCTTTAACTCACCACAGGAATACATTGGTTTTCTTTAATAATCTTTACTTATGTTCTCTTTTCCATTTTACACATACATCTTCAGCTACCCCTGTGTGTATGTGTGTGTATTTACACTGAGTGTGTGTGCACTCAGGCCCTTATAACATCCTTCACATAGCCTCAATACTGAACTCAGCACCACTCCGTTTGAACAGAACAAATAAAGTTTTATTTAAAAAGTGTAAGCTATTCCTAAGCTTTACATTCACTCAGCACAATTCTTCATCATCTCTTCTCCCACCCTCAACCTCTCTTAGACTTCTCCCTCAAATGCCAGACTTCAGAACCATCTTCTCCCTGATCTTTCTACACCAGACTGCTCTATATCAGACTCAAGACTGATCTGTCTATTTGCATACACTTCCCCTCCTTAAATAGTTTCTCTTCCAGCCAATCAGGACCATTCTTACCAACATTCTATGCGCCTCACTCACCCCCTCCCATCACATATTTGATAATAATTGCATGCTGTCCAGTTGATTCCGAGTTATGGTGACCCTTTCCCAAGATTTTCTAGGTAGAGAATACACAGACCATTCCTTTCTTCTACGGGCACTTGAAGACTGTGTAGCTTGCCCAAGGCCACAAAGGCTCTACTCACAGGAGACACAGTGGGGGAATCGAATTCCCAACCTCTGACTCTACAGCTAGATGCCACTGAGCTATCCAGACAACTGTCACATACTTACCAATCTGTATAAACAATACACCCACCTCTCCACATTCATGGCTTCATCCTATGTTCATTGAAGGCATACAGACACTCCTCACTTAATGATCTACCTGTTTAACGACCCTCTTGGGTTTACAACCCTCGTAAATGCATGCTTGTGTCTTTGCCATGCCCCCTTCTCCACAGCACGTGATTTATTACTCTTTAAAACATACATAATTATTTTCTCTTTGTATATGTATACTGCAGGTGTATACTATACACTGATAACTAGAACTACAGTAATTATACAGCAATTTTGTATGCTGCATCATACGAAATTGCTGTACAAAAGTAAATACACTGGTATTAAGAGAGAAAACAGTATTTAATACACTGTACATTTGATGCCCCTTACTGCTTCTGCACTGCTAATCCTTCAACTCCTCTCAACTGAAGAAAATACAGAAAAGATCATATAAGAGTAAAAAAGTGGACACCTGAAAAAGAGAACTCCCAATACCAGAAGCAACCACACACAAACTCACCTTTGAATTAAAGTGTCCTTGATCACAGGCCCTTGCCACATTGTATACATACTGTCGACATGCCATCAGCCGTGTATACATGTCAGCCATTTTACCTTGCATGAGCTAAACAAAACAGTGGGAATGAAAGTGTTTACATGTACATATTTTCAACATTTTTATTTTCCCTTTCTGTAGACATTTTTATTTAACAAATAAACAAAATAAATACATGAATGCAGGATGAAAACCAAATACCTAAAATTTAAAATCCAATATAACTTGGATTTCCACTAAATGTTTTTTAAAAAGTGGCTAGGGACACTTCCTAGGTCTTTTTAGCATTTCGTTGCCACCACAGAAAAAGCCCCTTCCCTTTTGTTCCCTGGCCACATGTCTGGCAGCAAAGAAGACTTGCAGGAAAATGTTAGGGAACAGGTAGGTTCAAATGGATGAAAGTTGCCAAGAAAAAGTGATGTGACAGTGGCAGGAAATATTGCAAGTTCACATGGATGAAAGTTGCCAAGAAAAATGACAGTGGCAGGAAATATTGCAATATTACCTAAACAGTGTATTTCTTTATTCCAATATAAGGCTTAGGCTAAAACAGTTAATGAGAGTCAACATAGTGTAATGGATAGAGTGTCAGATGTGGGTTCAAATCCCTGCTCAGCCATGAAAAAATGGATAGAGTGTCAGATATGGGTTCAAATCCCTGCTCAGCCATGAAAATTCACCAGGGACTGGAACTGGTAAAATCCCTCCTTGAACATCGCACATGACTCAAATACTACAATTGTCATAAATCAGAAATGACTTGGTGGCACATAACAACAAGATAGTTATCTCACCATTTGCTTCGAATTCTCTTTCAGTGCTAACCCAATCTAACACATGACTCAAATACTACAGTTGTCATAAATCAGAAATGACTTGGTGGCACATAACAACAAGATAGTTATCTCACCATTTGCTTCGAATTCTCTTTCAGTGATGACTTGGTGGCGCATAACAACAAGATAGTTATGTCACCATTTGCTTCGAATTCTCTTTCAGTGCTAACCCAATCTAACCTAACTGCACTTTTCCTGGATAGGAGTATCATTAAATTTGCATTTTGCATTGTAAAACCCCTCAAGCTATTGCTGTGATACTTGAGGGGTTTTACAATGCAAAATGCAAATTTAATGTTAGCAGTTTTCTGGCGCATAACAACAAGATAGTTATGTCACCATTTGCTTCGAATTCTCTTTCAGTGCTAACCCAATCTAACCTAACTGCACTTTTCCTGGATAGGAGTATCATTAAATTTGCATTTTGCATTGTAAAACCCCTCAAGCTATTGCTGTGATACTTGAGGGGTTTTACAATGCAAAATGCAAATTTAATGTTAGCAGTTTTCCCTGAGTTATCTTAATCAAAATCTAGTAATCATATTACTAGATGATACTCCTATCCAGGAAAAATGCAAAGTTAGGTTAGATAGTGTTAGCACTAAAAGAGAATTTGAAACAAATGGTGAGATAACTATCTTGTTATGTGCCAACAAGTCATTTCTGATTTATGACAACTGTATATATGTTGGACTGAGTCCCTAAAAGAAGACACAGGGTTGCGTTTACAGGACAGCTGAGGATAGGACAGTTTGTAGAGAACTTATTCATAGCATCCTAGTGAGTTGGAGGCAACTTGATGACATATAACAATAACAACAAAGAAAATAATCCAAAACTTTTGAAATAATTTAAAAACTCAAGAAATTGGGCTCCAGCCAAACTCTGAAAGTTTTTTCTTTTTTGGCAATGTTTTCATTGCTCTCACCTGGAAACTGCCAATTTTCTGCCCAAAAGCTTTTCTCACATGCAAATATGGGACAGCATGGTCTATAACTGCCTGCATGAGCCTGAAATGTAATAAGACACTCTGAATATTTATTTGTACCACACCTTTGAAAAGACAGTTTACACATCATATTCAGTGAGAAGGAACAGCGTAACAAAATAATCATAACAAAATATGCCATCTATAAAACTACAAATCTAATTATGACAACAGAAGTAAGGACAATAAAAACCAGCTAGCAGATAGAGATGTGGAAAGATAGAGAATGACGGGATACTGACTAAGTGTTAACTAAGAAGTGACAAAATCCTGTGGTGTCCACTTTGGGATATTTAACAGTATCAATAGCACCTCCCAGAACAAGAAAAATTTCTGCTTTACCAAAAGTACATGTAACTTATTGGTCTCTTTACAAAAAGCCAATCCAATTGTAACGGTAAGGCTCAAGCCATACCTTAGTTGTAGAACTTTACATGCACAAGATTCCAGTTCAGTCCCGGCATCTCCAGTTGAAAGGAGGAGGCAATGGAAAAGATCTCTCTCTGTCCAAGACTGGCATGTTAGGTGACAGTGAACTAGTGTATCCTGGTACAAGATGGCTTCCTATTTGCCCATTTTATGTGTTCTTTTGTAAAGCATTCCTCCAATATATTTGGATTTTTGACACTGCTTATCTGGAATTATTCACAGCAACTCACTGCTGGAATTTTATCAGCAGCCGGGCTACCTAGCAAATCCATTTTCATTTCTATATCCATTTATGCATACATATTTCTATTCTCCCCTTCAATTAAAATTTTCCATAGTGCTTTACAATAGCCCATAAAATGCAACAGCACAACAACCAAAAGCACAGTTAACAACAGGAAAATGTAGTGATAAAAACAATAGAACCAGAAACCATCAGAGATTAAAAGCCTTAGAAAATAAAAATACTTGACACCTAAAAGGCATTAATATAGGTATAATAAGGGAAAGTCAGTGGGGTTTGCCAAAAGGTCTAACTCATTTGTTTCATTCTGCGTGCCAATCCTAAGTAATTTGACAACTGAGTCCCAACCCTGCCTTTCACTCTAACCACTTGTCAAGGGGAAAGTTTTTTTTAATCCAAGGCAATGACATATCAGCAAATAAAAAAGGTTACAAAACTTAATAAAAAAGAAAAGTCATAGCAAAATGGTTATTGAAAGTAGTCTTAAATATAAAAGACTAAGCTTAATGCTAAAGGATATAGCAAAGCAAAGACCTGATCTGAAAACTCATTCAGCCTAGAGCCCCTGGGAACAGCAGCTGGTCCATTCCATCTGCTCAAGTCATCATGTTCCTTGCAGGGTCCATGTGAATTACACAGCACCAACTGGACTATGCTAAAGCTCAACAGGGGACCCCAAACCTGGTCTTTTTATATCTTTAAGGCAGCTCACATCTGCAATCACAATATATTTCTTCTTAATTGCCAAACTGATTGGAAAGTAGTTGTCTAATTACAATATTGATAAGAAAATAGTTCACTAGGTCTTCAAAGAGCTTAGCTAATGACCACATTGATAACACCTTGATTTACGAAGGCTGAGGGTCCAGAATTAATTAGCCTTTGACCAGTACAGCTGTGATAAACAAGTAACTTTCCCAATAAACATAGGCCATTCCAACACAATTCCTAGCTAGGTCAAGTAAAGCACAGGTGAAGAGAAATGAATAGCATTATGCAACTTTTGCTCAGGCTAAGAAAGATCTATACAAAGATGGAAATTATCCTATGAGCCTATAGATCTTAACAAACTTGGGCATAGAGGAAGTTGGGACATGCCACCCTGAACCTCCTCATAATACAAAAATTTTACATACATGACATTAAAACACTGCAAAGTCCTCTGATGAAGTTGCTTAAAGCCTGTATCTGACAGAAATTCAACCAGATCTACATGTTCAGGCTCCTCATTATGGCACGCCTCAGCTACTGCATGTACTACTGTTAATATAGTAAAGGCCATCAGAAGTAGACTCTGGACTCAATAATGTCTGGAATAGCAAAAAAGCGCTTCCACAGAGAAGCAGAAAAACATCATGCACACATGAGAATCCTTGACCAAATACATTGGCATGGAAGAGGAATGACTTCCATATGCTAGTGAAATGTTTCCTACATTATACCTTCATGGGTTTGTCTTTTCTATTTTAACTTTTAAAGCATGGCATGTTACTTATGAGGCTGTGCTGAATAGCATGTTTCATAAAGAGAGACCTTGGCTTCGAGAGAAGGCAGATCCTTTTCTTATCACAGCCAGAAATTCTCAAGTGCTTTTTTTCAGGGAGGGCTCCTGTTCTCATTCTTCCAGAATCAGCTTAAAACCTTCCTGTTTGGCAATGCTGTTGGGAGATGATGCAAACAAAAACTGTGTGTCTTAGCTTGCTCCACCTATTCACTATTCATTTTATTGCATTCTTGAAGTTCTTTTATGATTTTTCATCCTTTTAATGATTCGAATGTCAATAACTGTATTGTACAGTATTTTTTAAAATGTAATGTTTTGAATCATGACATAAAAGCATCTCAACGTCTTTTTAAAAGGGGGCAGGGATGTGCCTTTATGCCACTTGTGAAAGCACAGTACAGGCACATATTACTCATAAACTTATTATGAAAGTTTTATTTCTATAGCACAAAATTGATTTGGGCAAACCAGGCGGAATTAAAGTTGGATGCAGGACGTAATTAATGATTCTGGTTACTGTATAATGTAGTCATATAAAGCTTTAGCCTTCTGATGATGGAGAAGTGACCAAGAGCATACTATACTACTGCTACTATTACTACTATGCCATCAAGTCAACTCAAAATTATGGCAATTCTTTCAAGGTATGTCGTACTCAGAACTGGTTTACTATTCTCTTCCTCTTGGGATGGCTTTGGACTTGTGCTGCTTGTCCAAAACTGTACAGGCTAGCTCTTCTCCCAGGAAGCACAGTGGACAATTGAACTCCCAACCTCTAGCTCTGCAGTGAGATACCCAACTCATTGAGCTATCTAGCCAATCAACTGATTTAATACATACCAACAATTGTGGTAAATAGTCTTCTCATTTCTAAGGCTTGCAAGTTCTCTGTAATGAATATGAATAATGCTAAATGCTACCCTATGTGTGCATCTCCTTAGAAGGAGGATTCAATGGATTAAAATAACTATTCCCATGTGAAACAAACCAAGCTCATATTTGCCATCCTGTCCAAGGTAGATCTGCAGTGTTTGACATTGTTAAGCATCTGGCCTCTCGATCAGAAATCTCTAAACTGCATGAATAGCCTACTGCAGGCAGACTGCATTTCTAAACTATTTTGCAACAGCAAGTATTGTGTTGGTCCTACAAAATAAAGAGTGATATCTTTAGTGAACCAGCTTTATATATCACTTCAAGGTCATTAAAGAATTAAGAAATCTATTGATAAGTGTAAATATTCATTTTTCTCTTGTGAAACTACTTACTTTACTCTGTGCTGCAATATAGAGCACTTTTAAATGGCAGCAACCACAACTGTCAAAAAACTACCAGTGTGTAATTCTAGTAAAAGGGACAGGTTTGACCAGGATGTAATGGTCAACCATGATTTTACTGTCACTGAAACACATCACAGAGAATCTCAGACTCACATGTTCTGCTTCCCTGCTGGCAAGGGTAGGAGGAAGAATTTAGGAGCTTCCATTTCTGTTTTAAACTAACCTCAACCCACCATTTTGTTTGAAACTAAACTAATGCAAACTTGTACATTTACGAGACTATATGAACTATACATAGTTAAGAACACCCACAGAGTAGGGTTCAAACACAAGACTAAACTGCTGGTAATCTAAAATAGAAGCAAAAACTTCCAGACGTCTCTTCCCGGCCACACTGGAAACAGCCCCAAGGTGGGGTGGGGTTAAGGGCGTACATAAGCCCAGGCCTGTGCAATAACTGTATATCATTACAACATGACAATTCTTACACTTCACTGCTTCCATGCTATTACCTTGGTGTGCATGCAGGAGCCAAGACACACATGGACAGAGGCTTTTATTTATCAGAACTGCCATGCCCCCAAGAAGGCTGGGATGTGCCCAATTGCAACAGCCATGTTTAACCTGTCTCAACTGTGTCAAGAGGCAGCAATCAAATGGAGTTAGTAGTGGATACAAAGATTAAATGGTGCACAGAAATGGTGATGGTGGCTCCACGTGTAGGAAGAGATTATTATTTAAGAGGCTGTTTGTATGCACTTCAAAGGAAAGCACAAAAACCAACTGAGATTTCTAAGTCAGAATGATTTCCCCTTGACATGAACATAAGCATATTATAAAGAATTACTACTATAAACATTACCGAGGAAACCTAACAAGGCAGGTCACTGGAGTAATAAACAAAGCACACTTACCCCAGGGGTCCACCTGACAATACGAGCCTTTCCAGATCCAAGCCACTCATCAACACATACACTCCTTTACTGAGGTGTCCCAAAACATTCTCAGCTGTAAGAAACACAAAAAAGATGCTACTTGCATACTTGCACAAGTGTCCCCTCTTTCCTTTAACCTCTGCAATGTCCTGCTGAGCAGTGAAGGTTACTTTAAGCTTTCACTAGACACTGTCTAACCATATATTTTTAAATCTGTTTTGTACTACCAACCTTGCTTTAAAACAGAAAGGTAGGTAAGACACACACAGAGAGAGAATGAAGGAAGTAAAATGCTATAATGGCCAGAACCACACTGCCAACTTACACTTGCATGAAAGGAAACATGTAAGTCTTGGCAGCAAATTGCCACTCACTGACAAGGTTCCAGTTATGTCACTGGATGTACTGACTGCACAGTAAGGGATGCACTCAGAAACACTATAAGCACTTTGTAAATGAACAATAATTTGCCAACAAAACTTACAACAATTTTCCTTACACAAGTGTAAATCAGCAACAGGATTTTGGCCAATACCGTGTTTCCCCGAAAATAAGACAGGGCTTTATATTAATTTTTGCTCAAAAAATGCATTAGGGCTTATTTTCAGGGGATGTTTTATTTTTTTCATGTGCAACAATCTATATTTATTCAAATACAATCATGTAATCTTCTGGTTACTGTACAATGGTGGAGGGTGGGTTTCACTTAACTGGGGCTTATTCTGGGAGTAGAGATTATACTGTGAGCATCCTGAAAAATCATGCTAGAGCTTATTTTCAGGTTATTTTCGGGGAAAGAAGATATCTATTTCTGCCTTGCAAACATGGACTCAGAGAATATACCACAGACCTAGGCAACAAGCATTATTGAGCTTTGTTTGCTCAATTTGAAGATACATTCTCTTCCTCTACCCCATAGGTACTAGGGAAGGATATATGGGTACTATTGGCAAAAAAAAGAAAAGAGAGAGAGAGAGAGAGAGAGAGAGAGCATTAAATAAAAAATGCCTGGCAAACAATTTGTGGGCAATGCATTTAAAAGATAAGATTGTATGCAGCAAGAGAGAAAGTGAGAATTTCCAGAATGTCTGGAAGTAGAGTATCTCAGAAAGCAACCTTGAACAATTTTACCTCAGGCAAGATACAGAACGAGCTTTCCAAATCGGCTTCTGGCCATTGCTCAATGACCTAAGACTATGACACTGTTCATTGTCAAAGGGATCTATGCTACATTCAGTGTACAGGCAATACTAAGCTTACATTAATACAGTTGTCAGGGTTGTAACACTAATGTATGTTTTGATCTAAGTAAAAGATTTTTAAAGATGCCACAAACTACTGAAGCAACTCAATACTGAACAACCATTGAAGTGACCCTAGGAGATCAGGGATAGCTCAAAAAGAACATGACTATTTGTGATTCTTCCAGATCTCTTCCACTGGGCTGAGGGACAAGGAGACAGTCTCCACAAAATGGCATGTCAATGTTTTTTTTTTTAAAGGCACTTAAAGAAAAAGAGGATCATGGATCCATTTCACTGTTACTCTTGATGGGATTCTCAAGCTGCAGTTGGAGATCAGTTTGGAGCAAGACGGACCTTGAGGATTCTGGGTGATTTTAGGAGGACTGTAAGCAAGAATGACTATGTGTCAACAAGGTTAATATCTCTGGGGATTGACCAGATGATCATCAATATTGACAGTAATCTGCGGCAGATAGGAAGGTCAACGAGGAGAGGCAGAATATTCTTGATAGTACAAACTGAAATATAAATGGTACGACAACCCTTGTAGTACTCCCTTTCATCTGAAGTCCTTGGGGAGCCATAAGAAGATAGTGGGCACTCTGCGTAGCAAAAGACTTCATAATTGGCAGGCACAGTGTGGGGCATCACTGGAAGCCATTGAGTGTGCTCAATCACAATCTGATTACAGTGTCTGGGCCCAATATATTGCTCTTCAACATACGGGTGGTGGTGGGAGGAAGAAATGGGAAGAAAAGTTTCAAACGTCTGATTCTGGGTGATCAGCAATAACTATGGAACAAACAGCAGTAGATTTTGTACATTCATTTTTCTTTTTTTTTCTCTTTAGGATGGCCTGAGGGTTGTGATCTCCTCTGCTTCCATGGTTTGACAATGATTGTGCCAAAGCTGAGATGGAAGAACAAGCATAGTCAGAGCAAGGATGGTTTTGAGGGTGCTGATTTACAGAAAGAAAGCATTTTAGGTGGCACATTCATGGTGGAGACACGTTTTCCCAAAGAAAATATGTTAAATGGGCACCCTGATTTTGTCCCTTTTGACTCAAAAAAGTTGGGCAAACATTGCAGAGGAGTTCTATTCCTGTCTGAAGTAAAAAGCAGTACTTAAAATATATCCACGGGGCCATAGGCCCTGAGGGGAACCAAAAGAAAAGACGAAGACAAAAACCAGGGAAAAGTATCAATGAAAAACTTTCAAATATAAAAATGGAACAAAATAAGAAACTGAGAGAAAAAAGAATTAATCCCTTGCATTAGTCAAAACCTTTCTCTAATGCACTCTATTACATTCTCCCCCTGTGACAGATGAAGCAGAACTGAGGGACACTTTTCTAATTCATGCACTGTAAGTGGAAGGGGTAGAGCTACCTCTCTCTAGAAGGTTCAGAAAAACAGCTCTTAAATATGATGCACAGAGACCATGATGAGGTCTTTTCCTGTTATCCTTCCACAGAAATTGACTCCCAGAAATGTAAATCTAAGAATATAACCTGGCTAGTAGCCAAAGCCTTTTAATGGGTAATAACAGAAGATCACCTTCTATCTTAGTGATTGCTGACCTGTCCATCCAGATCCCTAATATCAGAGGCACATCCAGGAACTAAAAGCCCTTTCAAGTCAGCAGTGAAGATCTCCTTTTTTCCATAGACAAGATTTGTTCTGTGTTTTTGTTTGATATGTGTGAGAAACTGCCCAAATTGGCCATTGCTGTCATACTTAATTGCTTTAGATCACGTGTTTTTATGCCAGTTATCTCTCTCTTTAAAATCACTCTACAATGATTCAAATACTTTGATAATTAGAAGACAGAGGCAATTATATTTACAAAGAAAAACAAGAAAGTTGCCATGCATAGAATGAAGCAGCACAACTTTGACATCACTCACCAGGAACCTCACAATCTTCAAAGATTAATTCACAAGTATTTGACCCTCTCATTCCCAGTTTATCAAGTTTTTGTGCAGTGCTGAAACCAGGCATAGTCTGAAAGAAAAAAAGGAGGGGTGAACCACATGAAAACTGCTCTTCATCAGAAGACAGAACAGATTGCAATAGCTGTCTCTACAAATTACTAGATCTGCATAGAACAGGGATCAAGAACTAATCAGACAGGAATTTGCTGTATGGGTGTGAACTGGTGTGAAGGAAGCAGGTAGACATAATAGTGAATGAAAAGCTCACATCAAAATATAGCAATTAATCTTTAAGATGCCACAACATTTTTGTCTTCTTTATTTTTTCATCTTTTTGTTTTTACCTGACATGCTAGCACAGACCAACACGGCTACCTCATTCTAAAACTACACAAAACAGTTCTGAGCTAGAAGATAAATGAGAACACCATCAGCATTCTAATGTGCAGTTCTGCAATTAGTACAACAGACATACATACATATAACCTTAATCTGGAATGAAAGCTCTCACTCCCTTAGCAGTTTAGCTTTTCACTGATGGAAGTATCAGAACCAAATTACAGGGTAGAATAAAATTGCAAAAAAGTTGTGTTTCTTGCATAATTTTAGAGAAAACCATTAAATGTCCTAACACTAGGCAAGGTGTTAATTTTCTCTATTTTCATGAAGTGTTGCGGTGATTTGATTCTAAAGGAGTGAAACTGAATATTGTGTTCATGAGAAGGAGATTGTAGAACAGATTCCATATCTCTAGCCACATAGCCCCAACCCAGGGGCTATGGGGATGTATTCACGCAGGCTTTCACGGACGGGATCTAATGGTTGTTGTGGGTTTTTCGAGCTCTTTGGCCGTGTTCTGAAAGTTGTTCTTCCTGATGTTTCGCCAGTCTCTGTGGCCGGCATCTTCAGAGGACAGCACTCTGTGCTCTGAAGCACAGAGCTATGGGGATCTTTTGAATATTGTTGGCTATGTGTGATGGGGCTGCAATGGCTGAGGGAGCGAGGGCCCAGCATGGGGCAAACAAATCTTGTATTATGCATACAATGTTTGTAATTTCACCTGATTTGCTCTTCCTACTGCAAGAGGAAGTCCCAAATAACCAGGAGCAGCAAGAGGTGCTCAAGTGCAAGGCCCACTCAGAGATCTCCAAATGAAAAATGCAAAAAGGTCAAATTAAATACCAGTTTGTGAGGCCTGGCAAATTCTGTTATCCCTAGAGGTGGCCCTGGGAAAATGTCTTTTATCATGGGTAGGCCCAAATTTCTCCTTGTCAAAATCAAATCGGTGTTTGGAAAATGTACTTTTTTTTTGGATTACAGCTTCCAGAATTCCCCAGCTAGCCATGCTGATTGAGAGATTCTGGGAAATGCAGTAACAAAAAGCAACTTTTTCAAATTCTTCTCAGAACTCTCATGGATACTTCCTGGATCATTTTTGTTCCTTGTATAAGGGTGCAATTAGATGCAACTATAAAGATCACACTGCATCACACTGGAAGATCCAGCATGCAATCTTCAAAGAGACCCTTTAAAGCAAGCCTTCCATCTTGTTCCAATTGACCAGCTTCCACTGCTACAGCTTTGTTGTAGGACCAAAAAGCCCAATCAAAGGCAAAAGGGTGGGGACAGGGGCAGGCTACTTCATGAGCTGTAGTACATTATCTGGTCGCCAGCAAACAGAACAAGCCAGACAGTGCTTTCAGAACTCCAAAATGCAATCTAAAATTGATTGCACTGCAAGATAGATAGAGAGCAATGTCTTCTAAGCTGTGCACACTCACCCAGAGCTCCATCAGGGCTGCCCATCGGCAACCAGAAGCTGGTTTGCTTACCTCCCGTATTGAATAAAGCCTCGCCCACCCCCACACGCATGGAGTGAGTCTCCCATGCAGCGGGACAGAAAATTGGAATGCTGGTAGAGAGTAACATAACACTCTTATTTTAAAATAACAACTTTATCTCTTCTATCACCCTTTTATTCTGGCTACACTACAGTTTAGGCAGAAGCCTAAACTCATGCTTCAAGTGCACACCAAGGGATATGAGTGTGGCTGCTTTTTTCCCCACTGGGATAAACTCTTTTCAAGAAACTGGCAAATTACAAGATTATGGTTTTAGTTGCCTCTAAATCTTTGGCCTATTAGCTGGTGCTGGGATGCGTAGGTCAGAAGAGAGAGGGAGAAACTATCTGTTAATTAGAAGCTTTGGCCTGCTGTGTCTTATTGGCCTGTAAAAGAATTTTCAAGATCATAAAACATTCCTGGCAGAACTCTCTCCTGGTACCAAGCTAACCAGTGAGAACTGGTTTCAACTGCAAAGAAGGAAGAGAGATGAAGTGATGTTACTTTAGAAAATGTTACTCGCTTCTGGAAGTTTTGTGGCAACTCGGGACCTGATTGGTGGAATACACTCGAAGGTGCTCAGGTGCAAGGCCCACTCAGAGGAAGTGGATGATCAGTATAAAAATGGTTTGGCAAATAAGCTTAGTTTAGACTAGTTTCTCTTAGCTGAAATGCTCACCTGCTGTCTTGCGAATTAATTTATACTCTGCATATGCTCTGGAACTATGCTGAAGTTTCTTCTCAAGGTAAGTAGTCTAGGATAGTTAGCTTTCTTATTTTCTGTGGGAACTGTTTTGGAATTGTCTTAACCTCAACCCTTTTTGAATGTGTATTTTGCTTCATAAATCTTTTGACTGCTTTGGGGGTTTTTGGAACTAATTTTTGAAACTTCTTGTGACTTTGTTTCTTTTTGACTTTTTGTAAACTCTTTAATAAAACATTAAGTTAGTTTGGTTATTCTGAAAAGAAGATGGTTTGCTGGTACTACGGAAGAGCCTTATCTTGTCACCCTACTGGATCCTGTATATTTTATACTGGTACTTTGATAATCCTACTTGAAAGGGTTGATTGATGAGCAAGTTAAATGTGAATTTTGATAACTCTCTGAAGCAATGAGGAGTCAGAGTGACTCAGAGTGTTGGCAGGGTTCTGGAGAGGAAGATTTTCCCCAGCCTCTTCCTCCTTCCGAGCTTGCCCACACCAGGAAAAGTCTGGGTAGTGTGACTGAATGGTTTGTATGGGCACCTCTGTCCTGGCCACAAACTCAACAGTTCTCACACTGAAGTTACAAAATACTGGCTGGAAATGATCCTTAACAACGAGGGGGGCAAATGGAGTCCATCCCCTGCCCATAATATTACCTTCTCCACAATAAATGCTGTTATACCCTGAGAAGCTGGAACAGCATTTGGATCTGTTTTGGCATAAACGATCAGAACGTCTGCATCTGGCCCATTGGTAATCCAAAACTTGCTCCCATTCAAAACAAAATAATCCCCTAGAAAGAAAGAAAAGAATAAGCAAAAATGCTCAACTACCTCTCCAGGAAACTGAAAACCAGCATTATGCTGAAGTTAAAGGCTTCATGTATGTTCTCCCTCCCTGATGTATAAAGGCAATGGACAGTACAAACATAAACATTTTATCTGAGTGGGATGGATTCCCCCCACGTATTTCTGTCATCAAGCAAAGACTTTCCTTTTCACGCAGGCCTTTAAGCAAGAAATGGGGGTTGAGGGAATACTGTAGTTATTAAATTTAGAGATTTTTTAATGTTCCTAAAATCTTTTTAAAATTATTTTTAAACTTGGTTGTAATATTCACTATTTTTTAAATATCATTTTTGTATAGTGTTGCAATGAAATAAATTAAAAATAGGTAAAATGAGCTCATCCAGAATTATCTGAAATTATCAGCTTCATGGCTGATTGAAAACATAGGGTTCTAGACTATAAAAACCATGATGACAGTTCTTTGTGACTGCCTGAAATTACAAATGTGTGGCTCTCCTGGTATAGGTCATGTTAGAATGAGGGTAGTACCAAGTGCAGAGAAACTGACATCCTTCTATGGTCAGCAGAAATGAGCAGAGCCAGAGCAACGTAATGTTGACATAGGTGGACTAGGATTGGGAGATTTACCTTCCAGTCACCAAGGAACCAGGAAATTCACCAGGTGACCAACTATGTGCCACTCTTTCTCTTTCAACCTGATTGAGGTTGCTTGGGAGGATAAAGCAGGGGAGGGGGACAGCCATACACATTACCCTACACTCAATGGGGGAAAGGTAGGGTTTAAAGGTAGTTAATAGATAACTAAAAAACTCCACTGATTTCTTCAAATAAAGAGCTATTTGTTCAGCCAGACGTACAAACTTTTAAACCTAAAAACACAGAGTTCACACAACTCTGCTTGGCAGTTGGCTCTTTCCACAACTAGCTAGCTCTCACTGCATTTCTTCTTACAATAATTCATAAAATAGGAAGTCTGGCCTACAGGTCAGCATTTCTCCAGTAGTATTAAATTGTGACACATTCACATCCTTTCTAAAATTTAATTTAATTTTCATCTCTCAGTTTGGCCTTTACACAAAAATTTCTCTTTAAGCCAGATCCCTAAGTCAGAAATGTGTCAAAGATTCCTGCTTTTCGGCATTCACAATGATGCTTACACCTCCAGGCTGAAAAAAGTAAGCCAGTAAGACAAATGTAGGTTGAAGATAATTTAGGAAGCTGTTTGTAACCCCACCTCCCCCATCACACACACTGGTGTTCAGTGTGTGCCCCCACCTGGGAGTGAGTTGTCTTAGTTGATTATATGAATTCTGATGGCAAGGAAAAAGGACTGGAGATAAATAAAGGTATGGGAATTGACAGTACATGGCTTTCCTAAGATGACACTGCAAGCCAATAAAGAGCGGTTACCTACCTGTAACCATGGTTCTTCTAGTGGTCCTCTGTGAATCCACACAATTGGGTAGTTCTGCGCCTGCGCATGATGTCTTGGAAGTTTCTAGAGCTTAAAGACATGTGATTAGTAGGACGTTCCCCCGTGGAGCGCATGCTCTGCCCGCCAGAAGTCCCCTCAGTTCCTGTAAGAGTCCGCCACTGTCAAAGAACTATATTAAAAAGGACAACGTGACAGACAGAGGGGAGGATGGGCAGGATGTGTGGATTCACAGAGGACCACTAGAAGAACCATGGTTACAGGTAGGTAACTTCTCTTTCTTCTTTGTGGCCTCTGTGAATGCACACAATTGGGTGACTGACAAGCTCACTTACTGGATGGTGGGACATCACAGTAGGAATGTCAAAACAGCTCTGCCAAAGGCAGCATCACTCTTTGCTCAGACAGTGTCTCACGAAGGTCAATGGAGTGGACCATGTAACTGCACGGCAGATGTGAGGAAACTCAATCCCACGATGAAGTGCAGTAGAGGTCAACATCGCTCTGGTAGAATGGGCCTTCAAAGGCAGGTGCTGTGGATGCCGATGGACTGGGATAAGGACGGTCAGAGACTTGTATGTTCAGTATGGTTGTTGGTAGGACTGAAAAGGCTGTTGGAAAAAAGGCTGTCTGTGAAACTGGGGACATTGGTAATGGTACGGTTGTTGAGTGGAATGTGAGCATACTGTCTTCCGGATTTTATGAAGATTATCCATTACTTCGTCAGTTCTGGCATTGCAGAGGCCAGCACTGTCAAATGGGAAGTCTCCAATTCTTGACCCAGTATCATCTGAGATGCTGGCAGATCTCAGTCAGGCATGGCGCCTCAAGGCGACAGAAATGGCCATAGCCTTAGACGCAGCATCTGCGGTATGACAGGAAGCAATCTTTGTTGTTTAGCTAAGGTCATGGCCTCAGCATGAACATTCAGAGCTTCAGATTTGGAGGCATCAGTGGCAGGTTGAAGAATAGGCAGGATTTTGTTCCATAGCTACCTATGGTACGCACCCATTGCTGCTTGGTAGTTTGTGACTCTCATCAGAAAGGATGTAAGAGAGTAAAGGCATCTGCCTAGGATGTCAAGTTTCCATCCTTCCCAGTTGGTAGGGGCTACAGATGATTTATTCCATGCTCTTGATTGATTAGACTCAACTACTGTATGACTGAACTCGATGTGGGGTGTTTAGAGAAAGGCTGTATTCGGACCGTGTGTTTTATAATGATTCTCTACGCATCTGGAAATTTGTAGTGATGAAGGAGGCATATCCCATGATTCTTTGACCAACTCTTAACATCACAGAAATGAAAGATAGGCTAAGAGGGGATGTCTTATCTTGATTGAGATCATCGAAGACCAAATCTTTTTTCTGAGATGGTGGCTCTTCGACATCTAGTTCTAAAGATTTTGCCGTTCAGCTGGGAGTAAGACGTGAAGTACTCTGATGGGAATGGTGGATGGTTTTCGGTAACATCAGAAAAAGGGGTGGGCAAATAGAAGGGATTATTCTTGAGAAATGCCTGATGTGGAGTCTTGAGCGGAAAGAGAGGAGTCAGAAGACGGTGATTGGCATGGTGGTTTTGTGGTCGATGCCGATGATTGAGATGGTAGTGGCAGCTGTAGAGTTGGAGATATGTGTGGTATTGGGTGCTGTTTGATGTCAGAAGGAGGAGGTCCTTTGTAGGTGGTAGTAACTTCAAGAGACGTATGGTGTCGAGATCGTTTGGAGGAGTGTTTGGCCCGTTTAGACTGAGGCTGAGAAGGTGGTAGAGGCCTAGTTCACTTAAGAGCAGATTTGGTAGGGATCGACACTTGGAGAGTCGATGCCTGATACACAGTAGAAGGACACCGGTGTCGATGTAGAGGTGGTGAAGGCAACACGGAGGGTGAATATCGAGGTGGTTAGGCATATCTCACTCTCTTAGGTTCATCATAGTACACATGTTCTGTCAGATCATCAGGATAGTAAGGGTCGTATTGATGGTACTGATCCCCATATTAATCTCTAGAAGAATATCAAGATGGTTCAGGATAGTAATAAAACTCCCTGTGAGGGGGGCCATGCTGAGGAGAGGTGCCATCTTTTTTCCTGGTGTTTTCGGGGAGAATGATGAGATGACTCAGAGCCAGAAACTTGAATAGGTACTGCCTGCGCTGGTGATCTAGGGCTTGAATGGACCGAGGCCAGGCTGGAATAAACATCAACCGGAGACAGGTCAGTACTCGGTGAGAGGCTAGCAACAGAGACTGTAGCCTGGGCCAGTGTCAAAGTTGAGTCATCTCTATCCAAGACTGAACCTGGGGCATCTCTAGATGACTCCTCCAGAATCGGCAATGGAAGTACCGACTGGGGTTGGTCAATCTGAGCCGATTTTGTAGGCTTCTTAGATTTAGGTTTGTCCTTCTTTTTCTTAGAAGAATCATCTGGTCAGGTTGTAGCCTTCAACATGGACATTGAGATTGATTTTGGAGCCGACTTAGTTTGGTCCTTCTGTCAGAGTAGAGGGGTCATTGGGCTTGATGCCAATTGAGAAGCCTTATGGCACTCTGGACGCAGGGACATCACCGGATCCATGGGAGTAGGATTAAGAGATTTCTCCCAGAGATAAGAACAAAGTCTTTGCAGGTGCAATTTAAGCACGGGGTTTGTGAGTTTCTTACACTCAGGACAGGTGTTTGTCTGATGCTGCTCTCCAAGGCAGAAGAGGCAATGATCGTGACCATCTGTGAGCGGGATTTTATTTGCGCACAGCATGCACTGTTTGAAAGGCCCTGGAGGGGCCATAAAAAGTAGGGAAAGGGGGAAAGGAGAGGCGGGGGAGGAGAGAAGCCGAGGAAAAAGAAGCAAAAAGATGATTTAGATAATCAAAAAGGGAAGTAAAAACTAACAGGGGAAATGTCCAACAAAGGAGCTGATTAAGGAAGAAAATAAAGGAATGATCTCATGAATATAATCGAACAATAGCTCTAGCGTTCTGAAATAGGTCCAACCAAAGCGGAGGCAAAAAGGAACTGAGGGGGCTTCTGGTGGGCGGAGCATGCGCTCCATGGGGGAACATCCTACTAATCATGGCTTTAAGCTCTAGAAACTTCCGAGAGATCCCACACAGGCGCAGAACTACCCAATTGTGTGCATTCACAGAGGCCACGAAGAAGAACCTCAAGGGTAAAGTCAAGAAAAGGCTGCAGACAATTGACCCCTGTACCAGGGCTTTCTGGACTCTTAGAAAATGACTCCTTGCACCACCACCACCACCACCACAAACAAAACAAAACCATATGGGGAAGCAAGAGAAAACTCATGGGGCTGCCTTATGTAAATAAAAGCCATACAAGCCTACTGCTGCCAATAGTATGAAAATATAACAACAGAAAGCCAGGGGCCAAAGCAGATCTTAGTCTGGTATCAGTGGCACAAAGACTTGCAATGTGTGCTGACCGCAACTCTGGCTTAGACCAGCCTCAAGTCCTCCTGGGGCTGAAGCTGACCCTTCTGAGGCCCCAGTCCAACTCTATGGACTTCCCCAGATAGCCACACCCCATTCCCAATGTCCAGTTTTGAGTGGTTTGCTAGCTTTTGTACAGTTTTGCTTCCATTTTGCAAGGTCCAAGGGCCTCTACTAGGGCTTAGTTAATCAGCAGTAAGAATGCCAAGCTAAAACATACTGGTATTTTCAGTCCCACCCTTTTGGCTTTGTCCAGCCACACCACTGGAATGGAACCCTGAGAACCCATCTGAAACAGAATTCAGCCATTAGGCTGAAAGAGGTTCTCCATCCTTCCTTTAGATAGAGCAGGAATGTCCACACTTGCAGCAGTCAGCTAACCTTTTATACTCATACTTCGCTGCAGTTGGGCTATCTGTCCTATAGTCTTGCTTTTCCTCTTGGGGGGTGCACACCCCTCTGTACTACTTGAACCACGTAGAAGTGGACACAACCCAATGAGAAGATGAACCGTTCAAGAGGCCACGTTCAAAGGCCATTGGGGCTGCTTTAAAGCCACATACCTACTACGGACATTGCTGCTTTTACCTTTTCTGTCTGCCCTTAGCTTCATGGAAACAACATCAGAACCAGCATTGGCTTCACTCATTGCCAGGGCTCCAATATGCTCTCCACTGATCAGCTGCAAGGACAAAAAAGTTGTGTAAGAAATACATTTTCTTGCTTTCATTCCTACACTTACCTTTTAAAAAAAAGCCCATAGTAAACTTGACAGTCTTCCATGTTATGGAAGAACTCCAAGTGGGGATGTTATTCTTGGCAGAATTCTCCCAACAGGTTTCCCAGTGCCACTGTCAGCAGTGGCAGAAAATCAAGTCAATGCAATTCTAGGAAAAAGACATGGGAAATGAGCAATGTAGCTGACTATTGCTCTGGCTAGATTTGCCAGCTAGAAGACACTGCCAAGAGAAACATACTAGCAGCCATAGATGTGTTTTCTCTGTCGCCTGCCCTGCCCTGCCCTTTGAAAGGAGATGGCCAAAAGGGGCAGACAGTTCAACACACTGGGGAAACAGCCAGCTTACTGAAAACAAGACTATGGAATAATTCAAAGGGATGAAATGTGATGCCAAACTGTTGGGCAATAAACTAGAACTACAATATCCTTCGACCCTTGTAATGGAAGAGCAGATGGTCAGCCTCCCTCTGCGTTCCCTTATGGCACTCTCTGACACTTCTCTCTATCAGTTTCCTACTATCCCTCTCTGTCTGACCCCCTCCCTCACCATCTACTGTAGCCTATTTTTTCACACTTGTTCAGTATAAACGTTAAAGAGACAGATTTCATAAGCAACCACCTATGACAGAATAGCCAATTCGATGCTCATTTGCTTTAGATTCCAAATCAAGATAGCTTTACGTAGTGGGATGCTTTGTAAATTAGGAAGACAGTTCTACATAACTAAGATTCAGGCTGCACACATTTCACCCTCTCTTTAAGTGATTAAAGCCTGTTCAGTTATATTAGGATGGAAACTGCCCAGTTAGTCTGGGTGACAGTAGTAGATTACAATGAGGGACTGCTTCTTAAAATGAAAAGGCAGAAAGCAGGTTTCACCAGAGTCGCCTTTTACCTTTTGCCAGTGTGGCCTTGCTGGCTGGGGATTCTGGGACGTATACTTCCAAAAAATAATTTTTACAAGCTCTGAGCTTCCCTGTAACTAACCCATATCACCCCCTCCAGAAAACACAACAACAACACACACACAAAGCTGAATAATTCTGAAACAAACAGGAAACATAACATCCATGGGCATGTTCTTCGATCAACTACCAACTATCCCATTACAGGAGAGTTCAAATTTCAGTTTTTTCCCATTTGAAGACAAAAACAAAAACTACAACAATCAATTACAGCATACTAGCAGTTAAATGCAATATTTGTTTGTTTGATAAATGAGCCATCTATTACCTTGATATTCTCCAGTTGTTTTAGAACTACATTTCCTATCACTTTAGCCTACATGGATGGAGAACAACAGGATCTACAACTCATCAAGAGCTTACCTGGCTGGGGAAAACTCACTTAAATTAACAACAACTGCTCACATTAACTCCACACCAACTGACACATCTAGTGGCAATGAACGGAAGTGGTATGGAGGGGAAGATTTAACTTTCAGTGTCAACAGGAGAGTCACTGCAGTTTTCTCACTACAGTGTTAGTAAAGTCCATCTGAGTAGGAGAATAACTCAGACCATGGAATGTGTTAAGTAATGTCAGTGAGAAAACATTTTTGATCATTTGGTGCAGAAGGAAGAGAAGGGAGTGTCAAGTATATATCCTAAAACATATGGTCGATGTCTGTTTTTTCCCCAATATTTCCCCATCACTTTTTTTCCATTGAGGCCACCTCACAGGAGAAGTGGTCTTCTGATGGAACCAGATAAGGCAGCAAAATTAACATTGTCTGACCAAACAGAGAGAAAGGCATTGCCTCTGTAGAGACATTTGCAGACTTAAATGTGAAGGCTTTCATTTTACAAGTTTCTGATGATGTGAGCATATGCATAAGTTCAAGGTAAACACAATCTTTTACCAGCTCAAGACTTTTAAATGCCCTGTTTCCTTGAAAATAAGACCTAACCTGAAAATAAGCCCTAGTATGATTTTTCAGGATGCTCGTAATATAAGCCCTACCCCCAAAATAAGCCCCAGTTAAGTGAAAGCCCGCCCTTCACCATTGTGCAGCAACCAGAAGAAGATGACATGACTGTATTAGAATAAACATAGATTTTGGTACATGAAATTAAATAAAACATTCCCTGAAAATAAGCCCTAATGCATTTTTGGAGCAAAAATTAATATAAGCCGCCTAGAGTGGTCGAGTAGACCAGATAGGCGGGGTATAAATCAAATAAATAAATAAATAAATAAATAAATAAATAAATAAATAAATAAATAAATAAATAAATAAAAAATAATGTGGGGAGATGGGGCTGAACTGTAAGAATAAGAAATTATGGCCCAACCAGTTCTAGTGGCAAGGAGCATTGAGTCATCTCAAAAGCCTCTTCCTATTAGGAATATCTATTTCTTCCCTCATGTTCATGCTTTGAGAGGTGGGAGAAAGCTCTCTCTCTCACTCACTTATGCTTCACTTTTGGCAGCGCGCATTAGAACAGTCATTTCTGATGAGCCACGAGACCAACTTTCCCCTTTATTTCTATTGCACACATTCTATGACTACCCTAAGAAAGGACAGGAAGAGGGACATTGCTGTAGGACCAAGAACCCACTCAAACCCTCAGCAGTGGCTTTTTCCTCTCATGCAACTCAGCCCAGTGAGGACATCTGTTTTATTGGGTCATGAGCACCAGGCACACATTAGCAATGTCATCTAAAGGCAGGAAGTGGGAATCATCTTTTCCCACTGCTGACTGTGAAGAGCCAGGGAGCCACCAGTCACCTCGATTTGATCCCACTCCCAAGAATAAATATATCAGGTGCTAACTGGCTTTGACTAAGAGGCAGCATGTGTGTGTATGTGTGTCTGAATTTTCTCCTTGGGCCAATACACAGTGTGGGACCATGAAGGAACAGCTGGAAGAGACATGGGTGGGGGTGCAAGTAGACAGGTGACTATCAATGACCCCCTAATTCAGTCATTCCTGCTGCTAGAAAAGCACAAAAGTCACAAACTCCATAGGCAAGCAGGCAAAGGTGCTCTGGCCCCAGTGATAAAATCAGGTGTGCAAAGAGGGAAATATGCTGCCACTGTGCAACAGAGCTTGGAAAATGTGGTGTTCCCCCTCTCCCCAGGAAACACACACAGCTAGAAGGTTAGCCCAGCAAGGAAAGCTAGTGGGAACTTGTAGCTGAAAACAGTAACTTTTCCATGTCCTGCTGTGGAACTTTTACAGAATCACTGAGAGCACCTAATCTTTTCTTAGCCACCATTACCACTTCTTTTTTCAATCTAATATTTATTGTGTGTTACGCTTTATTTTATTGAAAGCCACCACATGAGACTTGTTGCTAGGGAAAAAAAAACAGATTTTTAATGGACACTCATTATGGAAAAAAAAAAACAGCAGAAATGCAAGAACCTTACTGAGAAGATGAGGTCACCTTTCAGGGTGGTTATTCTCCATCTAAAGCAGGGGAGGGACAACTTCTGATAGCCTGGAGATAATATTGCTCTCCACCAGACTTCCAAGGTGTCACATACACGTTTTGATACCTGGGGGGGGGGACCTCCCAAATTGGCAAACCATGTCACCAAAAGCTCCTGGGGGCACAATTTGCCATTTAAACCTAATTCCTGCCCCCAACTCCTTTTTTTAGAAATGAAACTGGCAGAAAGCCTAAAATAGGCCTATTGGATGAAACGAAGTGTAGATGGTAAACTGTACTCCCACAAGATTTGGGGTGGGGTACAATTTGTTATATGGGCAGAACAATGTAGACAGATAGGGCTGGGGTGGGGGGCTGCACTGGAGGTCCATGCCCCACACATTACCTGTTTTGTTTTAGAGATTGCTCTAAATGAACAAGGATAACATCAGGGCATTTGAAAGTCTATGTTCTGCCAGTGGAGGCAATGAGTGGTTCCTCTTTTTTCCTAAACATGGCCTTAGACCATCCACAACAGCAGACATGCTATGAGGCAAGCTGGAAAAGCTCCTGATAAAGAGTGTACTGTACTTCAGAAAATCCTCAACTGTTTAATTTGCAATTTATTTATTTATTTTAACTTATATGCCACCCACTCTACCCAAAGGACTCTGGGCAATAGCAAATTAAGATCCACTACAAGTGACTGATGAGCACCTGTTAAGTTATGACAGGTACTGTATAATATCAGCTCCTGCTGCAACATACAATGCAGCCACATGCATAAACAGACATCAGCTAATGCCATTCTGTTTGATGTGCAAAACAGCTCCACTGCAACTCAGACGGATGGGAGAAAGAACAAAATGTCTGCGGTATTTAGTTTGAAGCGAGCCATTCAGCAAGTGATCAGCATGCATGTGTGAACCAGCCTTGTCCCTAGTACTACTGAGTATGGAGAAAAACAGCAGGAGACCATGGTTCTGGGCAAGCAGTACTTCCCATACAGGAATTCCTACCAGTGCCAGGAACCTAGAATTTTCCAACTTGTACCAGCTAGATGGATCTTAGAAAATTACTTTTAAGATAATCAAATGTAATGACCTGTTAAGGACCCAGGGCATGATCCTGACTAGACATGGGGGTATTCGTATATGAATACAAATATCCCCACGCAGGTGGCATTAATGAGGGTCCAGCCCCATGGGGCCAGACAGTCCACTCACCGGTCTGCTGCGGATACAGATGACACAATTCTACGAATGGCGCCACAATACGCAATCCGCTCGCCTCTCTTCAACCTTGCAGCGAGGCCTGCACGAGCTGCAGAGCCATTTGTAGAATCGTGCCGTCCGCATCCAATCAGTGAGTGGACTGTCCGGCCCCATGGGGGTTGGACTCTCATTAATGCCATCTGTGCAGGGATATTTGTATACGAATACAAATACCCCAATCTCTAATCCTGACTCTGCTCAGTTATGGATGGCTTCAATGCCTCTATTTGTCTTAAATGTAACATTTCAAGCTACAGTTTAGCTTAGTAATAAACTGTAATCCAATACATTTCTACTCAGAAGCAAGCTCCACTAAATTCAGTGAGGGTAAGTGGGTAAAGGATTGCCGCTTCAGTGTCTAAGGCTGTAATCTGAAACAAATTTACAAAGCATTAAGGTAAAAAGAATTCAGAGGGACTTCTGGAGAGACATGCTTATGTTTATAGTATATATTTGCAGTGCAAACCAAGTACTACCTTTTCTCCAGAGGAGCTTGTTCCATACTATTCATATTTGTACGATTTTTGTAGCAATAAATCAAACTAAAATCTTTGATTTTAGTTTGATTTATTGGATTTTTCTGTATATACAAATGTAGGCTCCAACTGAGAAAATTTAACCAGAATATCCCATGTTATTCCCATTATTATAATTTGTATTACAAAACTATTAACAAGTCATCACATCACATCCTTCTTGTTTCACTGATATATTAAATACCACCATTCTACCTACCTTTGGCAGATATTTCTCTTTCTGTGCTTCATTGCCATTTCTCACTAACTGATTGATACAAAGATTAGAGTGGGCACCATAGCTCAATCCAACAGCTGCTGAAGCCCGAGAGATTTCTTCCATCACTAAGACATGATCCAGATAACCCATCGCTGACCCACCATATTCAGCTAGTAAGAGGAAAGAAGAGTGACAAATATATAGCTGAAACTGTTTTAGATATTACTGAGTTATGACATTCCTATGGCCCTATCAACTTGCATTTAAGATAGAGGATGTTCAACTGTTTTTATTTTAACTATTACTTTATTCATTTTCTTAAATTCTTTAATTGCTTCCTTCCAATAAAAACAGATCTAACAAAAATCACTGAAAATTAAACAGGAAAATCATTAAAATATCAAAATTATCAATACACATTGAAACAATGTAAAAGGCTAAACTGAACCAAAAAAAGAAGACAGGATGTGTGAAAACTGATCATAACTTTGATGGAAGTTAATTACAGTGGTGCCTCAATTAACGATTACCTCGTTAAACGATGAAACCACTTTACGATGAAGTTTTTGCGATCGCTATTGCGATCGCAAAACGATGTTCCTATGGGGGAAATTGCTTAATGATGATCAGTTCCTTGCTTTGGGAACCGATTTTTCGCTAGATGATGATTTTAAAACAGCTGATCGGCGGCTCTAAAATGGCCGCCTGCTGTGCACAATGGCTTCCCGCTATGCTTTAGGATGGATTCCTTGCTTTACAGGCACCGGAAAATGGCTGCCCTATGGAGGATCTTTGCAAAACGAGCAGGTATTTCGCCCATTGGAACGCATTGAACCGATTTTTCAATGCATTTCAATGGGTTTTTAAAATTTCGCTTGATGAGGATTTCACTTAACAGAGATTTGAACAGAACGAATTATCCTCGACAAGCGAGGCACCACTGTAAAAGTAAGACCACCAAGACCCCATATCTAACTGGAGTGTGCTTTAAGTTATGTGTGCAAGTTGAGGCATAGATACCTCTTAGTGTATACTTATGAGAGGACCAGAGATGGAAAAAGTTACTTTTCTAGACTACAACATGCAGAATTCCACATAGAGCATAGCTAGCAACAATGCAGGCTACGGAATTCTGTAAGCTGTAGTTCATGAAAATCACCTGTCCCTGCTCTGAGTGGATGGTTTCTTCCATAGACAGCATTCCTATGGATGATTGTGGGGCCTTCCAGATGCTGCACTGCAACTTCCATCAATCTTAGCCAGCATAGCCAATGGAGAGGAACCTTGCAAGTTGCTGTCCAAAAACATCTGGAGGGCTGCACTTTGCCTACCCCTGATATAGACAACAAATCATCTGCTTGGAGCAGATCCACTGAAATCAATGGGACGGTGGTAATTTACACTGCAAACACATTTGTTGTATGGGTTTGAATCTGCATGCATGGTAAGTGACTGGAATTTGATCAGCAGTTGTAGGCTGGATGATTCCTGATGGCAGAGTTTCTGTTTTCACACAACACTGCACATGTTTTTAAAACTACACAAAAGTAAACTGAAGGTGTGGTTGTATAATAAGGAACATGGCAGCTTGAACATTTTTCTTAGGGTTTACATTTACCTTCAAATGAACTTTTTAAAATTATGAGTATTTTTAACACACTTTTTGCAGTATAAACCCATTTAGTTTTTCTAGAGATAGCAGTGCCAAGGGATTATACTCATGCATACTGCTGATAAATGCTGAAACACATAATGTATGTAGCACAACCAAACTAACACTGTTGTGTTTCACCTATATAAAAACAAACAAACAACAACAAAATCCATGTTTCATATTGGCATGACCAATTGATACAATGAAATTTAACAACCAAAGATCAGGCAAAATTCAAAAGCTCCTTTGCCCATACTCTGAACCTTTGGCAGAAAAGGACAAGGGGAAGTAAATTCACTGATGACACTCCGCAGAAATCAATGGGGGAGGCAGAAGTCACCACATATACTGTAAGTATATCACAGAAGTCAGTACACCCCCTCACATTTCCTAAATATTTTAGTCTGTCTTTTCATGTGGCAACACTGAAGAAATGACACTTGCCTACAATGTAAAGCAGTGAGTATACTGCTTGTTGTTGTTGTTTAGTTATTTAGTCATGTCCGACTCTTCATGACCCCATGGACCAGAGCATGCCAGGCCCTCCTGTGCTCTCCCCTCAAAATAAGGCAACACACGGTTTAATGTCTAAACTGCTGGCAACAAAAGTGAGTAAACCCCTAAGTGACAATGTCCAAATTGGGTCCAAGTGGCCATTTTCCCTCCCTGGTGTCATGAGACCTGTGTCAGAAGTCTCAGGTGTGAAGAGGGAGCAGGTGTTATTGCTCTCACTCTTTCAGAATGGTCACTGGAAGTTCCACTTGGCACCTCAGGGTAATGAACTATCTGAGGATCTGAAAAAAACAAATTATTGCTCTACATCAAGATGGCCTAGGCCAATGGAGGCAAACCTTTTTCTGCCAGAGTGCCCAAAATGAGGGGGTGGGGAAGAAACCAGTGGCTGCCGTGCCGCCCGGAAGACCAGAACCGGAACAGGAAGTGGCAGTTTCAAGGGGAATCATGGGGATGGACAAGAAGTTAAAGGGGAAATCATGGGGACAGATAAGAAGTTAAAGGGGGAATCATGGGGACGGACAGGAAGTTAAAGGGGGAATCATGGGGATGGACAGGAAGTTAAAGGACCCAGAACAGGAAGAGAAAGGGGGAATCCCAGCTGCAGCCACTTCAAAAGGTTTGTCGCGTGCCAGAAGAAAGGGATTCGCATGCCAGCTGTAGGTTCGCCATCACTGGCCTAGGCTGTAAGAATATTGCCAAAACCATGAAACTGAGCTGCAGCACGGTGGCCAAGACCATACAGCAGTTTAACCGGACAGGTTCCACTCAGAACAGGCCTCGCCATGATCAACGAAAGATGTTGAGTGCCCATGCTCAGTGTCATATCCAGAGGTTTGGGAAATAGATGTATGAGTGATGCCAGCATTGCTGCAGAGGTTGAAGGGGTACACAATGCATCAAATTGGTCTTTAGGGCTGTCTGCTGCAGACAGACTAAGGACATGGATTTCTGGAACCATGTTTTGTGCTCCAGTGAGACCAAGATAAACTTATTTTGTTCAGGTGGTGTCAAGCATGTGTGGTGGCAACCACATGAGGAGTACAAAGACAAGTGTGTCGTACCTACAGTGAAGTATGGTGGTGGGAGTGTCATGGTCTGGGGCTGCGTGAGTGCTGCCAGCACTGGGGAGCTACAGTTCATTGAGGGAACCATGAATGCCTACATGTACTATGACATACTGAAGCAGAGCATGATCCCCTCCCTTCAGAGACTGGGCTGCAGGGCAGTATTCCAGCATGATAACGACCCCATACACCCCTCCAAAATGGCCACTGCCTTGCTAAAGAAGCTGAGGGTAAAGGTGATGGACTAGCCAAGCATGTCTCCAGACCTAAACCCTATTGAGCATCTGTGGGGCATCCTGAAATGGAAGGTGGAGGTGCACAAGGTCTCTAACATCCACCAGCTCTGTGATGGCGTCATGGAGGAGTGGAAGAGGACTCCAGTGGCAATCTGTGAAGCTCTGGTGAACTCTGCCCAAGAGGGTTAAGACAGTGCTGGAAAACAATGGTGGCCACACAAAATATTGACACTTTGTGCCCAATTTGGACATTGTCACTTAGGGGTGTGCTCACTTTTGTTGTCAGCAGTTTAGACATTGATGGCTGTGTGTTGCATTATTTTGAGGGGACAGCACGTTTACACAGTTATACAAGCAGTATACTCACCGCTTTATATTGTAGCCAAGTGTCACTTCTTCAGTATTGTCACATGAAAAGATAGACTAAAATATTTATGAAATGTGAGGGGTGTACTTACTTATGTGACGTACTGTATATATAAAGATGGTGATGCAAGCAAGGTAGTAAGGTCAAGGGGAAACATGTTGGAGCATGCAAAAGGACAGTGATTAACTCTTGAGAGAAGAAGAATGAATAAATTCAAGAATAAAAACAATGCATGAAGATTTCAGCACCAGGTGTGACAGGGCAGCAATATTTGCAGAAAGAGTGAAAGATATGTTGAGCCTCAAATACTGAGAGAAAATTCTAGATCTGGGTGAGGACCTCCAGGCCACAGATTACAGCCCGTGGAGGTTCTCTTCCCCAAATTGCAGAACTGTAGAGCAATGAATCTGCAGATTATCTGGCACCTCAAAGGCCCAGCTTCTCTTCCTAGTTTTCTATGCAGGAAAAAGTGAGGAGTGAGGCTAGCTGCTTGTAGCTGATATTGGTCGTCATGAGTTGCCACTTGACCTCAAGGCTCAGCTGTCTCCTACATCACTTCTCCTTTCCCCTCCAAAGCCACTTAATGTTAGATTCCATGGCCATGATTCTGATGTTATCTGGCTTATGCTGGTGTGGAAGCAGAAATCCCAAAGCCAAAAAGGAGTCACACACACCCTCCGCATCGAGTTGAATTAAACCATGAGTAACTACTACATACTTGACACAAGAGATTTAATGTGACTACTTTATTGCAGATATATATATGCAACCAATATTTAGCTGCTACTTATATCTTGCTGAGTATTCTCAAGAGGTTGGAAATGATTATTTCTTGATATGATTGATACACACGTACCTGGAGCAGTTATTCCTAGAACCCCTAGATCCCCAAGTTTCTTCCAGAACTCCTACAAACAGAGCAAAACTGTTAGTGAGATCATGGTTGATCGTAAAGACTAGGCAAAGAGGTTTTACAGTTTTCCTCAACATATCAGCTTAAATGCCTCTCAGAAAAGACAGCAGGGCAAGATATCCACTGCCATGCAAAATACTGTGAAATGGAACTCTACAGTCACGTTTCTAATTTTTTAATTTTTTTAAAAAAACTAAATTATTTTATACTTACTGTTCCTTGCTGCTACCCAGCTGGTGCCTTCATGATCATGCACACTATAATCCTAAATACTTTAATGCATGACTGGACTCTCTTGTATTACAAGGGTGTGGGTATGATGGTCATGGAGTTGTTCTGTTCTGTAGTTCTACCTGCCTAGATTTCTTAGCCTAAAACCAACACTCTGTTAACTTACCAAGATCTGAATGGCATTTATACAGCTTGTTAAGAATGGCAGCTATTCAAATTTGAAACTTATATCTCACATTAGCGACCACAGATGGAATTTCTCATCCCATGTTTATTAGTTATTCATTTACCTATTTAGAATAGAACTATAGAACTCTAGAGATAGAAAGGATCCTGAGAGTTGGATGGCTATCATGACTGTCTTTCAGTCTTCTCATCTCTATGCTAACACACCCAGAGCCATCAGCTCCTCTTCACGGGGTCTGGTGTCCATACTGGTCACCCTCCTCTGGACATGTTCCTATACATAACCTTCTTTAACCGTGGTGCCCAGAACTGGCGGAACAGAGTGGTACTGTGACTTCCCTTGATTTGGACACTCTAATTCTGTTGATGAACCAAGCATTGCTTTAGCTTCTTTTTATCTTGCATCAAACTGTTAAGTCATGTTACATTTGTGACCTACTAAGACTCCCTAGATCTTTTAACATGCACTACTGCTAAGCCAGCAGTTACCCATTTTATATTTATGCATCTGGTTTTCTTTACCTAAATGTAACAGTACATGCTGGCTCAGTAATTTGGGGAACTGCAACTCCTCCAAGTGCTGATATTTATATTCTCACAAAGAACACATTAGCTCCTAAGTTTATATTTAACTTGCAAATTGTTATTTTCTGATTAATTTGTGGCAAGATAAACAAACTTCCACCTCTGGCAAGTAAGAAGCTGATTTTTATTTAATTTTTTTATACCACAACTGGTGGGTGTGGAAGTAGGCAGGCTAAGAAATATTTGTATGGGCAAGTGACTATTGCAAATACAGTGGTGCCCCATTAGCTCCTAAGTTTATATTTAACTTGCAAATTGTTATTTTCTGATTAATTTGTGGCAAGATAAACAAACTTCCACCTCTGGCAAGTAAGAAGCTGATTTTTATTTAATTTTTTTATACCACAACTGGTGGGTGTGGAAGTAGGCAGGCTAAGAAATATTTGTATGGGCAAGTGACTATTGCAAATACAGTGGTGCCCCACATAGCAACAATAATCCGTTCCGGAAAAATCATCGCTATACGGGTTCGTCGCTATGCGAAACAAAAAAGCCCATAGAAATGTATTAAAACGCAAGTAATGCGTTCCTATGGGCTTCAAACTCACCATTCAGCGAAGATCCTCCATAGTGCGGCCATTTTCGCTGCCTGTTAAGCAAGGAATCCGTCCCAGAAAACAGCGGGTGGCCATTTTGAAACCGCCGATCAGCTGTTAAAAAAGCATGGCTTTGCGATAATCAGTTCCCCAAGCAGGGAACTGATCATGGCAAAGCACAGCCAGCCAGCCAGCCAGCCAGCCCCGGATGACACCTGGTGTCATGAGTGCAGCTCAAGACCCAGAACGAGAAGGGTTAACTGAGGCTCAAGAGAATGCTAAGAGATCAGAAACACCTGAACCATCTCCAGATTCTCCTTCCCCAGCAGACAAGCTTCGGGCCAGGCTTCGGGAAAGACTTAGGACAAAAAGGTCAGAGGATCGCTCAAAGGCTGTCCACAGAAATATCCGTTCAACTAGCCCTGAGTATTAACAGGATGGAAAGGTTTCCAGCAGCTCAAGGAGCTGTTTTACTATAAAACAGCCTCCCCCCCTCCCGCTGTCCCCTATTTATGCAGGAGCTCTGGGGGGGTAGTGCGGCGCCGATCAGCTGTTTAAAAAGCCTTGCTTGCGGCGCCGATCAGCTGTTTAAAAAGCATTGCTTTGCCATGATCGGTTCTCCAAGCAGGGAACTGATCGTTGCAAAGCGAAATTCCCCCATAGGGAACATCGGAAAGCGATTGCAAAAGCGATTGCAAAATCTTCATCACAAAGCAATTTCATCGTTATACGAAGCAATCGCTATGCGAGGCACCACTGTACATGTTCCAAGGCTGGCTCTCACTCCCAATACCTTGACTTAGAAAAACGCCATCTGTTTTAGTTATTTGTTCAATAAAGTCAACCAAGCCTTGACTTTATTGTAAAGACCTATTCTGTTGATTACAGTTTACTTTCAAGATAGATCCAGAGCAAGTAGACCATAATATCCCACCAAGCTCTACATCTTTTTTTTGGCTGTTTTGGAGCAGTTGTTTGATCCCTTTGGTGGCTGGTTCAGACAGATACTTTTACTTGCTATACTACATACAGCTGCCTAAAGGAGTTCCATGATCATTGAGGAGCAATTTGCCACACCTTGCTTTTTTAGGGAAAGGACAAATTCTGTTCTAACAAGCAGAACTGAGTGGCAAACAGAAGGCCTTCCATGAACTCAACATTCTTTGTTTAGAAACACTGTGGCATCACCTGACTGCAGTCTCTGTGTTTCATTGGAAACCTCTCATGGCACTGTCCCATGGCTGGAAGGGACAGAAGGGCTGGTTGTTCTAGATCTAGAGGCAAAATCACTGGCCAGCAAGATGTGAAAGGAAGCTATGCCTGACATCAAATACTACAAATAGCAACACTACTGTAGTGTATTCATTTCAGTGGTAATGACTAGAGATGGGGGTATTCGTAATCATATACGAATATCCCCGCACAGCTGAACTTAATGAGGGGCTGGGCCCTGCGGCTAGCCCGTCCATTCATATGTCTGGCACTGGTGGCAGCCTCGCTCATCCAATCGCTTCTGGAGCTTCACTGTCTTCCTGCTTGGCTAGCAACTCAACAGCCATGCAGGGAGGCTCATCCTCCCTCCCACTGCCTGGAGTGGCCAGGCGAGCAGGAAAAGAGCGGAGCTCCAGGAGCGATCGGAAGGATGAACAAGGATCACCAGACACGTGAATAAGACAGGCCAGCTGCAGGGGCCAGCCCCTCATTAAGTCCAGCTGCGTGGGGATATTTGTATTCATATATGAATACTCCTATCTCTAGTAATGACATTTAGATTTTTTTTCTTTTTAACATTAAAGCTGACATGTCACATGCATCTCTGTATAATGAACAGTAATATTTGGTCATTGTCATTACTTGTTTGTTCCCCCCCTCCATTTTGAGGAATTGGTGGACTTTTTGGATTTTTAAGGTTTTTTAAAAAGTACTGTAGTATGGTACTAATACGTAATGTGAACCAGCACTTTCTCTGCTTAGCAAATAATAAGAGCAAATTACTTTCTAAACAGGCAGCTATAATGACTTAGGCTCTAAAAAGAACTCCCTGAATAGGAGGTAGATAGCATTTGGTTCATTATTGTTTCCACAGCAATGGTGTTCAAACTGTAGAATGTCCTCCGTGGAGGAAGGACATGAGAGTGCAAAGAGGGAGAGAGTCCTGCAACAAAGACAGCCAAAGACTCTGCCTCTCTGGGGCAGACATTCAAACAATGAAGCTATGCAAACTGTTATGTTAGCTTTCCATGCTATGTAGATACAGAAAACACAGGAAAACATATAAGAACTTTTGGGGTTAGCAGCTTCTTTTCGCTTGCACCCCAACTTGCTGCTTTTAAGAAGCCTCTGCCCTATTCAATCTTCTTTAAATGCCAGGATTGGGCACATTTCACCACCACAACATTCACCATGCTACTCACCAAGCAGGAATCTGCAGATACATTTTTATTTATATATTACGGGTACTCAAAGTAGTTGTTGCCAGGGAACCCCAGCCTTGCTGGGGAGGGGGCAGGAAAAGGGGCTTACTCACCCAGAAAAGCCAGCAAGACAGTGTACAAGTCCAACTGCAGCCAAGGAGAAAGGTGTGCAAATTTTTGGACTACAGCTTTCAGAATTTCCCAGGCAGCTATGTTATGCTGTAGTATGCAGCTTGAGGAATACTGGGAGCAGTAATGCAAAATTACCAAGGTGTAAACCTCTAGCTGCTCAGGACAGATGGCAGTGATCACAAGCCAATTAGAGGGGGGGGGAGAAGGGATAAATGGAGAGAATCAAACAAAAGCACCCATCTCCAGTGCTAACCAGGAACTCATCTGGGAACATAACAATGCAGAACATAACACTACAAGAGTTAAAGAGTCTTGTCAACAATAAGCATGGGGCTGCAGGAAGGTCAGCCAGATGCACTGCACTGCACTGTGGCAGCTTCCTAGGCCTACCCTAAGCCACAATACCTTCCCAACTAAGACTTTCTCCAGGTGAACCTCATCTGGGTGTGTGCAGGTGTGTGTTTGGCAGGTGAAACTTCCAGAATGAAGAATTATGGGCTCTGTAATCTAAAAAAACTCAAATGACACATCCCTAACTGAGACACTGCTATTCTGTTATTTTTTTTAGTTAAAGGAGGAACACAGGGAGAAGCCCCTGCCACGCTCCTGATTTCTGGCAAGAACAGGGTCTGGCAGGAGCTGACACAATTCTGCTGTGGTAATAGTGGTTCATGATAAGATTTAAAAAGTTAAAGCACACGTCATTATAACATCAAAATACAATTAAACACGCTGTACTATTAACACAGTTGAATTAAAACCATCTTTAAAAGTACAGTGGGGTCTTGACTTAAGAACGGCTCAAGTTAAGAACATTTTGACTTAAGAACCGCTCTCATAGGAAAATATTGACTTGACTTAAGTACTTAGATTTGAGTTAAGAACTAAAAAAAACCACGTGGGAGGCAGGGAAAGTGCAAAATGTGAACTTTCAGTTAACTGTTGGCCAGTGAAAAGGGTGCCTGTCTGCTTCCTCACTCCTCCCAGCGTTTAGAGAGTGGATTGGGAGCCAGTCTTCAGACTGCCTGGTACTGCCTGGACTGTATTTTCCCTGCCTTCCCTGAACCTTTCTTGACCTAAGAAAAAAAGAAACAAAATATCCTCCCTCTAGTGGTCGAAGGCGGAATAGAGCTTCCCATTAGTTTCTATGGACGGAAAAGAGCAGATCCGGATCAAATGGTTTTCAATGCATTCCTATGGGAAATGCAGATTTGACCTGAGAACTTTTTGACTTGAGAACCGCCTTCCAATACGGATTAAGTTCTCAAGTCAAGACCCCACTGTACATGAATAACAACAAAGACCCATTCATTAAAAACTTGTGCTTAACAGCCAGATATGCAGCATTTTCTGCATCTGCCTCTTCCAGACTTGAGAAGTAGAATAGGTTTACCAGAATTCAAAATGTCAGGTAATACTACCTTAAACACACTTTACTCCAAGCTTGTGCAACCAAAGCCCTGCAGAATATCACAAGATCCCGTATTTTTTGCACCATAAGACACACTTTTTCTCCCAAAAAAACTGGGGGGGAAAGTGCATACGTCTTATGGAGCGAATACTGTCCCCTCCATGCCACCATCGTTGGTTTCCCAGGCCTCCGGAGGCCTCAGCAGGCCCCGTGGG